AAGAGAGGAGAGGAGGAGAGGAGAGAGAGAATGAGAGAGGAGAGAGAGAGAGAGAGAGAGAGAGAGAGAGAGAGAGAGAGAGAGAGAGAGAGAGGAGAGAGAGAGAGAAGAGAGAGAGAGGAGAGAGAGAGAGAGAGAGAGAGAGAGAGAGAGAGAGAGAGAGAGAGGAGAAGGGGAGAGAAAGAGGAGGAGAAGAGAGGAGAGAGAGAGAGAGAGAGAGAGAGAGAGGAGAGAGATGAGAGAGAGAGAGAGAGAGAGAGAAGAGAGAGAGAGAGGAGAGAGAGAGCGAGATAGAGAGAGTATAATGGTGCAATACATGCAATACCTACTTCCCATGTGTGTCCACATCTAGACCACGTGTTGTGGCAGGGCGCCATGTGCGTGCCCCACGCTCACTGCCCCTCGCTTCACCCACGCCTGTTTGCGCCCCTAGCGCCCCCTCTGGCCGGATAAAAGGGAGACCAATCTTGACCCAGTCTCACACCCTCAGCGACCTTCTCAGTGACCGCTTCTGACCTGAGTTGCCCTCCCGGCGCCCAGCCGGGGGATCCACCCAGCGCCGTTCTTCGTGTATCGTTATTCTTGTGTATGTGTTGTAACTCTTAGCAATAAAGAGAACAGCCACACCGGGTATCACTGACACCACCTTGTACTTCAAAGAACAGTACAAACCAAGAGCTCTTAGTAAAATCTCACAGTGGTGGCAGGGTGGTTGTTTCGACCTTTTGGCTTGAAATCGAACGCAAGACTCCGAAGAACTAGGACCGCTCGCCTAAAAACATCGCGATATGAAGAACGAGGATACAAAACCACGTGAGTACATGTATGGGTCAAATCTTTTCTTTTTCCTTTCTTCTTCCCCCATATATGCGTTAAGCAAACCGTTCCCACGATGGTTTTGCTGGTGGAAAGTGCTAAGTGAAAATCTAACAGCATAATGGCAAACACACAGTCTGTCAATTACCGGGATCTGAGACACTTCCTCAGGATGTGTCAGGTCTGGACACAAACACATGAAATATCGTTCTTTAAATAATTAATTTTCTCGCATTTAGAGATTTATTTATATTGTTTCAACGACAACAAAATTCAACTCAAGTTCGTGATTTTCTCTCAAGCTGAGAATTTTCTTTTTGTAATTCGCGATCATTTACGAATTCTGTGTATTCCTTCTCTTCGTATACGTATTTCGTAAATTGATTGTTGAATTTCATTCATTGTTGAAATCTTTGGTTCATTTTATTCTTTTACTGATTTCAGTATTCGCACTCACGAACGCGCATATCATTTAATTCTTTGTAGTAAACAGTTAACCCACACCCCCACCCCGGCTGACCTCACTTCCCTTTCATCCGGTCGTGGAGGGCAGGGACCTGTAATTAGGCCTTCAACGCTATTTCGGTGACAATTCTTCGGTGCAAAGAATAATAGCTTGATCGCAAATATTTCTAAATTCATTTTAATGAATAAAGCGTAAAATCTTCCCCTTTCATCGTGCAATAATGCATGGGGTTTCGTAATGAATAATAGATACACGCACCCGACGTTTGAGAGTAGGTAGAAAACCGAAGCATAACTCATTCGTTCGGCATATTGAGTCGGTGTGACCCGTATTAACGTCTGCTTATTAAGGGACTAGGGTTTAAGCTGGAATTAATTCGCTTAGTAAAACACCTTCTCAACTTTCTTTACCGCTGGCATGTCCGGAAAATTCCGACAATCGTGTGATTCGTAGTTGATATCTGCGTGCGCCATTCACAGATTGTAGAGTAAGACTAACGATAAAATTCGAGTCTCATATAGTCACTTCATTCGTTCAGATAATTTGGGCATAAGGGACCCTCTGGCGATGAAAACTAGCTCTCACATGCGTATGCGAGATATTATTTCCTCAGTGTATCAGATTTTGTTGCATCCGTAAGTACGATTAAATAATCGGGGATAGCATAAGAAACATTTCTGAACTGGGATGCTTGCATTGCGGAAGCTTGCAAAAGAAATTTCATGTCACCATTCATTTTGCGTACGTTAAGTCGCATTTCATTTTAATGTTGAATTCTTGGGGTAATTGAAATAATTGTTGTATTGACATAGTAATGATCATAACATTTGCTAAGATGAACGTTAAATTCGTGTTTGTGATCCATCTTCGTGTGAGCTCGCTTTCTCTTCACACTCATAATTACATACACACACTCATTCACGCAATCAGGCACTGTAAAGTCAAATCTTCAATTATATGATTTGTTGTGCATAATTGCAGGTTATCTCTTTTACCCGCAATGTTGCTGTGATGAGTAAACATACACGCAATCATTTCACACACTCTTCCACGCAGTTCAACAGAACACTGTTAAGTCAAATCTACATGTATAGGATTTGTTGTGTCATTGTCCAAGGCTATTCCTTTGCCTTGTTGACGTTGCTGATCGTGATTAGTGACAATGATGCACAATACATATATTTTTCTTATCTATGAAATGACAATCGGTTCAAGTTATCCTTGCGGATGCCGATGTCATTTCCCTTATCTATTCTCATGTCTATCTGAGATGGTTAGTAGCTCAAGCAAGTTCGTGAGAACTGCTACTCTCCTCTCCCTCATTTATTTTTCTTCCTGAAAAATACAAAAGTGAAAAAAAAAAATAAATTAAATAACCACATTAAAAACTGCAAATTAGTATATAAAAAAAAAATAACGGCTAACAGCACTTAATTAACATCCCTCCCTCTCTGTTGTCTTTCTTTTTCTCTTACTATATTGGCCCTTACGTGTATAAACTGGTTCATAATGTATATATATGGACGTGTATATCCGACGCGGCATCAAAGGAGATCTAACTGCAGCACGATCGCCTTGCAATGCCGTGAGACGAACATCGCCAGATGATCGCCGCAGGCCAAAGGACGAGGACTCGCGAAATTGCAGGTACTAAGCCGCCCAGATCAAGTGGACGGGCGCCGCCTGTCAGTACTCCCGTAGATCCGGTGAAGAACCAGGAACTCGTCAGAGCAGGCCCCATGATGCTATGAAAAGCCGCCTGCCTGGACGCCCGTAGATCGGTTAAACTCCAGGAGCTCCCCAGCGCAGGAGTAAGACGCCCTCGGACTAAAGGACGCCCCTGCCCAGGACGCCGTAGACCCAGACGCGCAGGCTACGAGACGTCGGTACGAGCCGCAGCCGAAAAGGACCTGGACGAATCTGCGAGGACGTGTGGACGATGACGCCTCCAAGTACCACCTGGATAAGGACTACGAGGACGACTGGACGAACCGAAGTCAAGGAGGACCTAGGCGAAACCTTCGAGGACGTGTGGACGTCGATGACGGATGGATGCACCAAGGACCAAGATGGAGAGGCCGACAACGAGAAATGCACGAGGACAACCGAGAACAGGAACGCGACGAGACGACCAACATATGGGGTACGATGATAGGTCACCCTTAAAGTGATTCAGATGACGCCACGAGGACGAGGCTGAGGTGGTGGCCGAGCGTATAAAGGTGCAATACATGCAATACCTACTTCCCATGTGTGTCCACATCTAGACCACGTGTGTTGTGGCAGGGGCGCCATGTGCGTGCCCCACGCTCACTGCCCCTCGCTTCACCCACGCCTGTTTGCGCCCCTAGCGCCCCCTCTGGCCGGATAAAAGGGAGACCAATCTTGACCCAGTCTTACACCCTCAGCGACCTTCTCAGTGACCGCTTCTGACCTGAGTTGCCCTCCCGGCGCCCAGCCGTTATCTTGTGTATGTGTTGTAACTCTTAGCAATAAAGAGAACAGCCACACCGGGTATCACTGACACCACCTTGTACTTCAAAGAACAGTACAAACCAAGAGCTCTTAGTAAAATCTCACAGAGAGAGAGGGCGAGAGAGAGAGAGAGAGAGAGAGGAGAGAGAGGCGAGAGAGAGAGAGAGAGAGAGAGAGAGAGGAGAGAGAGAGAGAGAGAGAGAGAGAGAGAGAGAGAGAGAGAGAGAGAGAGAGAGAGAGAGAGAGAGGGCGAGAGAGAGAGAGAGAGAGAGAGAGAGAAGAGAGAGAGAGAGAGAGAGAGAGAGAAGAGAGAGAGAGAGAGAGAGAGAGAAGAGGAGAGAGAGAGAGAGAGAGGGCGAGAGAGAGAGAGAGAGAGAGGGCGAGAGAGAGAGAGAGAGAGAGAGAGAGAGAGGGGAGAGAGAGAGAGAGAGAGAGAGGAGAGAAGAGAGAGAGAGAGAGAGAGAGAGAGAGAGAGAGAGAGAGAGAGAGAGAGAGAGAGAGAGAGAGAGAGAGAGAGAGAGAGAGAGAGAGAGAGAGAGAGAGAGAGAGAGAGAGAGAGAGAGAGAGAGAGAGAGAAAGCTGGTAGAAAAACGCACAAGAGCTCCCGAGCCAATGCGATGGAAGCACATCGGGTTTGATGTCAAGGGTTCCCCTAGTCTGCCGGGGATAAGCACTTGAGAAATCTAAATAAAGGTGCACAAAAGCTACTAGATATGTACCAATGTTTCATTACTTGTCATTCAGCTTTTCTAGTTCTTACAAATAATACTAAATGTCAACAAGTTTGGGGAACTGGCCGCTGTCTGTATCATCCTTACATAATCGTATTTAAAGATTTTGTCATTTTTCTCTATACAATGCATGTCTGATCAAATATACTACAATCCGAACCAATTCAGTAAACACTACACCTGTCTTAAACAACGTATGTTTTAGTCGACATTTTCCATGCGCGTAGTAACGCTACACGCAATTTCGGCAGAAAAAAAATTTACATTTTCAGTGCTGAAATTTTTATAGAAAATTGTTGTACGACTTCCTTCCACTACAGAACAATCAGATAGCACATTTCTGCTGGTATGTCAAACACATTATTTACTTCCGTGGAAACTGATTGTGGGACTTGCCAGAACCTTATTCCGAAAATGTCTGATGTGTACAATGACCATTTTATCTCAGAAACAGAATACATTATTTCAGAATAATTCATTCCTCATTGTCTTTCGGAATAAGGACTGAATTATCCAACATTAGATTTTCAATGAAACCGTTCTCGAATATCATTTTTTTCATCATTATCATTACACACTTGTAATGATAACAACAAAAAATCCAGAGAATAACAATAAAATATCACTCATCATTCTACCTGGCCGTTTTAAAGAAATAAAAAGAAGTCTTATGGAAATATGCAGATAACAGATGGTTATAAAATTGCATAAGAAATGAAATACAGGAAATTCAGGAAGTAACATACATTCAAAATAATTATACTATCAAATTTAACAAGTAAAACACTTGTCTAAACTATGGTTACAATTTCGGGACAAGATTTGCTGTAACTGTATTGAAACCAGAGCCAGACAGCTAAAGAAAACATGCTATGGTAACGGATTAAATACTAATGGGGCCCGTATAAAAAAAAATAGGTTCTTCACCCCTACTCTCTCCCTCTTTCACTTGTTTCATTGTACCTTTGGTCTCCTATATCCCTCTTTCAGTCACCTCCTTCAAACTCCCGTCTCCTCTCTCCCTCTTTCACTCGTCTCCTCTTTCCGTCTTTCACTCACCTCCTTTAAACTCTCGCCTCCTCTCTCCATCTTTCACTCGTCTCCTCTTTCCCTCTTTCACTCACCTCCTTCAAACTCTCGCCTCCTCTCTCCCTCTTTCACTGGTCTCCTTTCTTCCTCTTTCAAACTCTAGCCTTCTCTCTCCCTCTTTCACTCGCTCCCTTTTAACTCTCGCCTACTCTCTCCCTCTTTCACTCCCCTCATTTTAGCTCTCGCTTCCTCTCTTCCTTTTTATTTTATTTTCCCTCTCGCTCTCCTGCTCTGTCACCTCCTCTTAATCCTAAATCTTCCTTAAATGCATGCCTCTCCTCCCACTTTCAACCGTACATTTACCGCCACCTCCTTCGCTCCATTATCCTCTTCCCTCCCTCCCCCATCTCCCTTTTCTTTCTAATACCCCTCTCCCTCCCCCATATATATATATATTATATATATATATATATATATATATATAATATATATATATATATATATATATATATATATATGTGTGTGTGTGTGTGTGTGTGTGTGTGTTGTGTGTGTGTGTGTGTGTGTGTGGTGTGTGTGTGTGTGTGTGTGTGTGTGTGTGTGTGTGTGTGTGTGTGTGTGTGTGTACACACATATGTATGTATGTATGTATATATATATACAAAGTATAAAAGATAAAATAAATATTGTACCACTGTATTTTCCCAATAACCAATGCAATATATATACTCTGAACCATACATTTTCATTAATTCATAGCAAACTATCAATTTCCCTGACGTCTTTTGCTATGTCATAGTAATAGCAAATGCCGCGGTTACGACACGTGTCACAATGAAAAATCTTGAAGAGCTGCTTTGAACCGATCATGCAACAGTCTTGTCATGGAGTAAAGTTACCCACACGGTTAGCCTAAAAAGTTACTTGCATACGAGAAGCGAATGAATGACTGGTCTTAAGAAATGATAATTTGAACAACAATGGAGCTAAGTATTCTAATGTAGGATTTTTTCTCACTTTGGTATTTTACCAGCATTTTGAATTATAGCAATTGTTATTTTTCATATTCGAAACGGTTTTTAAGATTGTTAATATCAGACCTTTTAATTACTCTCATGTATGGTTAAAAATTCTTAATTCGATCATCTTCCATTTATAAAACAACATCATTACCATCAACAACAACAAAAATATAAACTTAAATGTACTGCCTTAAGCATCCTTTTCTCAGTTTAGACGTGAACGTGATGCACCGATCCCTTTCAGACACAGAATAAGATGCACAAAATTCTCGACGTCTGTACTCAATCTAATGACCCCGTAAAGATCGATAGATAAACACGATATATATCAATATATTCAGGGTTTAATATAAGTTGTATGGGCAGAATGAGGATGAAAAAATGTCTAAAACTTTCTTCTGTATTGGTCTGAAAGGGTTATTGATTTTAATCTGACCTATCGCACGTTACTCAAATTATAAAACTGAAAAATAAAATGCACCTACGTATTCTGGCAAACTGAATGTTGACAAACAAACTTGCATACTGGTAAGACGACAATGTCGAAATTTCTAATAAGATCATACATTAAAATGGTATCGTATATATCATTCCGTTACTCCTATGTACAGCGTTAATCACTCTTTCGTTCGTTGCTATCTTATAAAAGTGGTAGTGTGTGTGTGTGTGTGTGTGTGTGTGTGTGTGTGTGTGTGTGTGTGTGTGTGTGTGTGTGTGTGTGTGTGTGTGTGTGTGTGTGTGTGTGTGTGTGTGTGTGTGTGTGTGTGTGTGTGTGTGTGTGTTTGTTGGTACTCACGTACTAAAACAGACTGGTCTATTTTGTTTATCATTATTGAATACAAATCTGGATCGCGACCCGTAGGTTAAGAATTATTACTTGGAAGAAATGAGACGCGCAAATGCTCCTTTAAATGCAGGACAAAGCGTCTTTAAAGCGCAGCTCATGATAGGAGAGAAGAGGACGAGTAGGAATGTGTGTATGTGGGAACAGAGACCCGGGACAGTAAATTCTATCTATCGGACTAGCGGAGACATTGGTCATTTTCAGGCTACCGTCTGTGCGCTTCGTCTTCTATGAAGTCGTTGATTCTCAGATTTTTTTTACATATTATATTTGGAGCGTTTCATGGCCATTTTTACTATGTCTTTTCTTGGGTGTACAGATTTTTCAATGAGTAAATTTAATCAGAGATAAATGATATGTACTATGTTAATTCCCATGTATCTTAAAACATTCTAGATCCTGAAATGAACGGGTCGGTTTTCTTCGGAGAAAAAAAAATCGGATTTTTGGGCGTTTCCCCTTTGAGTCTCTATGGCATCCTCCCCCATCCCAAGGTCAGTTTAAGGGAGGAGGATGCTTAGAATTGCGAGGTGGAGATTGTAGGGTATAGCATTGCTCACGCCCTTCCGATGCCATGTCGCTCCCTCTAATTAAAATAATTGTTTTATAATGCCTTAACTAACACTGCCACCTCTGACATTCACTCCCATCAAAGACAATATTTCCTGCGCAAAAAATGTGCATTGACTGGAGTACTTTATACTGTATGATTATGAGTGCCGTGTGCAAGAGGGGGGAAGGAAGGGGGGGGGAGTTTTGGGTGTTAAACACTTCCCACTTGGAAAGAAATGTATATTCATTTCGTCTCCATCAAGTTCCCCCTTTATCTACTATATGTTACACTATCCTGCAAAAAAAGAAGAAAAAAAAAAGAATGATAAACCACATAGCTATTTTAAATATTCCTGCTCACGACCTTCATTTTCTGAATCATCTACTAGGAGACATAAATGTAATTTCTGAATACTGCATGCTTTATTACCGTCAGCATTTTCATTATTTCTTCCTTATCTTTATAAACGAATATTAGTAATTCTGCAATAGTTATATAACGACTATAAACAGGTAAATTAGTGGTTGTTCGGCCAAAATTATCAAGCAGATATTTCTCCAACAAGTAACAACTGGTTTGCGATACACGTCACTTGCGAGTTATTTTCGTAAATCAACCCTTTATCCTGAAATACCTGAGACCAGATATGTCTCACAATTCAGGCTTTTAAATATTTACTAATCAAATCAATTAGTTGGGAGAGTGTGTTGTGATATTCTTAGGGCTTGGAAGTTATTAGAATACGGCGTAATGGTTACAAAAACTTTAGCATCGTGATCATAATGATGTTAATTAATAATAGACAGATATAACAATAAGAAAGATATTATATAATGATGATAATGATCATAACGATGATGACGGTGATAATAATATTGATGATGATAATTGTAATAAAAGTGATGTCAATGACAATAGTAAATAGTAACGGTACTGGCAATAATAGCAATAATAAAACTAAAAAGAATGATAATTCTAATAATAATAATAAGGATGGTAATAATAGTGATAATGATAATAATAATATTGACAATAACAAGGATAATGATGATAATGATGATGATAATGGAAATGAAAATCCTAACAACAACAACAATAATGATAATAATAATAATAATAATAATAATAATAATAATAATAATAATAATAATAATAATAATAATAATAATAATAATAATAATAATAATAATAATAAATATAATAATAATAATAATAATAATGATATAAATAATAATAATAATGATAATATGAATAATATAAATAACATCAATAATGATAATAATGGCAATAAAAATTATAACATTAATAAAAATGATATTAGTAATAGTACCAAAAATAATAATAGTATCAATACTTATAATAATAATAAAATGATAATGATATTAATGATAGTAGCAAAGGTATTATTATAATAAATATCAATAATGATAATAATAATAACAATATAATTACAATAATAATATAATAATATACAATAACAATAATATAATAATAATAATAATAATAATATATAATAATATAATAATAATAATAATAATAATAATAATAATAATAATATATAAATATAATAATATAACAATAATAATAATAATAATAATAATAATAATAATAATAATAATAATAATAATATTAATAATAATAATAATAATAATAATAATAATAATAATAATAATAATAATAATAATAATAATAATAATATAATGATAATAATAATAATACAATAATAATGATAATAATAATATAATGATAATAATAATAATAATAATAATGATAATAATAATAACAATATAATAATGATAATAATAATAATAATGATAATAATAATAATAACAAAAATAATAATAGTAATAATAACAAAAACAATGATGATGATGACCATGATAATAGAATTAATGGTACTACTAATAATAATGGTAAAAATTGCAATGATAAGAACAGTTATCAACTTGTCATCATCAGTGTTTGTATTTGTTATATGTTATATCCGTATTTATATCCATATTTACCTTTTCGTTATACACGTTAACTACTTTTGTATCAATGCTTAAACGACCTAACAAGATCTTTTCTTGTTTAGAATCAATGAACGAGAATATTTAAGAATCAAATAAGCATAACTTAAGAATACATGAATGGAAGTGTTCTTCAATTATTGTTTTATTCTTCCAAAGCGATATAATTATTCGCGACCTTATCACACACCGACTAACGAGCAGTAATTGATGAATTGATGAATTGACGTTCCCGCCGCCACGAGCCTCGCCAATGGCACGATGGAACGTGTGTTTGTTTCTTGTTTGTTTGATTGTTTACATCTACCCTTCCGTTCGGGCGGGGCGAGCGACTCTGACTTGGGCTTCGTGTGGGAAATTTGGATTGCATGAATAAACACCCATTCAGAATTATTGATAGTCGATACAAAATATATTAGAGTGTAGCACTTATGAGGGTAGTATATAACCTGGTGTAAGAAAGAAGATGAAAGAATTCTATATAAATGTAAATAATTCAAGGAAAGAAATTACGGACAAGACTTCGGTTTCGCCGTGGCAGTCTCGTTGAGTTTGTTCAGAGTGAGGAAAGAAGTTTCTAGTTGATATTCTCCTGTTTGGGTGCTTTATTTGATATTGGGTGTGTAATGTAGTTTTAGAGTTCATAACCAAATATTTCTTATTTAAGTCTATAGTTATTTGATAATGTACTTGTCATAATTATGTTATGATAAAGCTGATGATGATGTGTGAATTTCAGGTGCTAAGAGATTTATAGAAAATTGAGAGGGCTTTGATTGGTTTTTGATGCATTTAGCCAGTGATAAAGTATGTATTGTGAAGGTAATTTGTTGTGAATTATACGCTATCAAGGTTTATACGAGTCCACACCTGCCAGTGTAGAATTTTTGGTAATAGTCGAATTTTCAGTACACGTTCTTTATATTTTCTGTTTTGGTATGAAATTCTGGTGTTCTTCAGTATTTCTTGATTAAAATTTGGTAAATTTGGAGAAAGACGTCACCAACACCTCTTGGGATGAAACTAGATTCATTCGATTTCTATTGCTTTGTTTTGATTGATTCTGTTGTTTGTTTCCATTGGAAATGGCTAGAATGTTTTGTTTTTTTTATACCACGCCACTCTTGATATCATGCGGGTGGAATTTTCAATATTTGCTGTAATCACGGTACCTATTAAGTCACTATATTGTCTAATGGAGGGGGCTGTGCAGCCGTTTTTTTCCATTTAACGGTAAATATCAGGCCTGTGCATCTTCAGATTACTTCTATCCTACACTATTTCTTCTGTTCTATAAGATGGCGGTGTCCATTTTCCTCTATCTACGCGCGTCACGGTCTTCAACCTCTACCGAATCCTCTATGTATGCATGACAGGAAAGAGTGTCGGACAGACTAAGGGTTGGACGCTTTCACATGATGTTCGTATGCATGTGAAGTACCATATATATAGTCTCTTTCATAAACATAAACCTTACAACATACCTATGCAGAGGTGGGGCTGGGTTGGGGGTTGTCGACATTAGCGGAGTGGCTTGCGGGAATGTTAGAGAGGTTTGTGTGAGCAGGAGTGACGGCTGGTTGCTCAGAGTGCTTTGCTCTCTGAAGTGCAAGGCACTTCAGAGGGAAGCTTCACTCCATGTTCACCTGATAGTTTCAAGATACCCTTATTGTCTTCAAAATAATTTTTATGACTTTATAAGTTTAATACGACACCCTGCACACATGGAGACCATGGTGAAACTAATTCAAAATTAAATTTCATAGCCTCTATTTTAGCTAATCTTCAATCATTGGCTGTTTTCTGGTGCCTTGTTTCCCTATTGGTTATTAAATTAACCACCAAATAATTGGCCAATGAAATTGTGATACTGGCCGTGACTTCAGAAGTAAGATGACAGGAACAGTATGGGTACGAAAGACCTTGCGCATGTGCTGAGGAGAATTTGGTCAGTTTTCCTTCAGCAATCATGTGAATGTCACCTCTGTATAATACTATTTCGAATTTTGATAATTAAACCAGTGTCGACAGGAAATGGTGCTGTAGCTGACCCCTGCAACCTGCAGCGCGGCATACTTCCCCCAGGTTGGGTCCAGGTCCACAGCCTATCCACTCGCCCTCACCATCAGCAGCTTCTCGACGATGCATACTAAGACCTGATTGGTTGACCACGGACACCTCAAGGCTCGCCTATTGGACCGCAGGCTCCCCTCGTTCCCGGATGGCTGGCACAGCTCAGACCCACTTAAGCTCCCGCACCCAGGCTGAGTTCATCACTCACGATCCTCCAGCCGAGCAAGACACAGCCAGCAGCAACAAGGCCTACCCAGGCCTTAGCCGACGGGTGAGCCGCCCCAGCTCTCCCCGTTGATCTCCAGCACACCAGCCATACCTGTGGGCACTCGCACCCACACCCAAAAGCTCCTTAAAGAGATGATTGACACCAGTCTATGGCGGATACCAATCCATTGCCATACTGGTGACTTTCCGGAGTGACACAATACCCAGCCTTCTGGAGTATCATGGTTATCGCTCGCTTGCTTAGCTCCCTCACTGGAGGGGGAGTACATGTAGCCGATCCCCGTAACCTGCAGCGCGGCATACTTCCCCCAGGTTGGATCCAGGTCCACAGCCTGTCCACTCACCCTCACCATCAGCAGCTTCTCGACGACGCATACCGAGACCTGATTGGTTGATCACAGACACCTCACGGCTCGCCTATTGGACTGCAGGCTCCCCTCGTTCCCGGGTGGCTGGCACAGCTCAGACCCACTTAAGCTCCTGCACCTGGGCTGAGTTCATCACTCACGATCTTCCAGCCGAGCAAGACACAGCCAGCAGCAACAAGGCCTACCCAGGCCTTAGCCGACGGGTGAGCCGCCCCAGCTCTCCCCGTCGATCTCCAACACACCAGCCATACCTGTGGGCACTCACACCCACACCTAAAAGCTCCTTAAAGAGATGATTGACACCAGTCTACGGTGGATACCAACCCATTGCCATAGTGCGTTCCCTTTGGAAATGCTTGGTTAAATGTTTCTGTGCATAAATGGCTCTGCCAATGTTTAGCCACAAAGGAGTCAATTAGTAGATCATGCGACCTCACTTTTCCTTGAAAAAACGGGAAAACACTTTTTTTTACGGTTGCTATCAATATTGACACTGTTATATTTGTTATAAACATTATAATTGCTATATTGTTACTGACATTACTAACAGCAGTATTAAATATTAGAAATTATTATTGAAAATCTATATGTAAAAACAATTACTAAATTCAGCACACACAATGGGTAATGGCATATATGTACGTGCCATGCCCAGTGGCTTGGGGTTAAATAACTTTGTTATTACTCATTTGTGTGACAAGTTTATTTAAAGAAATGTGATCATTAATTAAATATCTTCAAGGCTGTAAGTTTTTTTTGATTGATTCTTTGTTAACGTTATTTTCCATTAATACCTAAAATTTGGTAATAGTGTAGATAAGCACTTGCTAGATTTTAAGGGATATACTATATTCTTATCTTCTATGGTGTAATGAATTGCATGAAAGTGAAAGCAAGTGAGGGCACACATACTATGCTATGATAGCATCCTCCCAATCCCTTGCTTGTTATTGTCATAGGGCTTAGGAGACTGAGGCCTAGTGTAGGGGATCACCCCTACCTTAGATTTCAGCCATCACCTCAACTAATTTTGCATGGTCTTTTCTTCTCCTCCTCTCGCTTTTTGGTATAAGTTAAAGAGACCGACGCGCGTAGATAGAGGGAAATAGAGCAGAAGAAATAGAGTAGGATACAATATAGTTTAATCTGCAGTGGCCTCATAGTTACCGCTAAACGTCAAAAGTATAATGAGCAGTTGCCGCTCAGATTCTGATTCCTGCATCTTGTTTACCTTACCAAGAATAACACAACACTGACCGCTTAACTCATTACTGTGATGTCCGAAGTAGTTCATGTGTTAATATGTGCTTGTCAAAATGATATTTGACTAATTATCAGTGTCTTGTTACATATTTATGCTCTTAAAGTATTTTAATAATGTTATTATACTACCTTTACATCTTTTAAGATTGATCTATAACTTTATTTAGATTTGTCTGCGCATCGTGTGTTCACACTTTCATTCACACTGGATTGTATGCATTGATATACAAGGTTGCTGCCTCCATGGCTTCAGTACTTCCCTTACTTGTGTCATACTTCAAGACTGTCACACTGGCAGAGTGCCAAAAGACACTGTGAGTAGTTGACATGAGGACAAAGATCACATAAACATGAGTGCCTCCTTCACACAAGGCAGGTAAATGATTAATGTGCTAAAATTTGCCCTTTATACAAGGCAATAGCCTATCATAGCATTACACATGCTGTTCTCCTCTAGGGAATACCACAGGGTATGTGGTGTGGGTATGAGGGATCCATATAAAGAGCAGCATAAAATATAATGAAGACATTGTCATAACATGATGTGAATGACCTGTCACCCGGAACCATGTCCAAGTCGGTCATGATGTTAATGCCATGTCATCCTTAGGCTAAGAGTTAATGTGATATGTAATTTAGTTTTGTGTTACAACACATGGTTAAAGCATGTTAAAGGGCCATACTGGTCTAAGGAGTAAAATAATTGAAAGATCATCCAAGGGCAGAGTCCCCTGCTAAGAAAATATGATGATTGGTAGGGGGTCAAGGGGCAAAACCCTTGGTTAGGAAGGGTTTTGGCTTGTATAATGATATTTGTGGTAGTTTGTGTGTTTTTTTTTTTTTTTTCGTTCTTTGTTGAGTTCAGTCTTTATGATATGTATGGGGTTGGTAGTATTCAGATTGCATGATTTTTTCAGGTAATTCTAGAGGAGATGGAATGTTCGTTTATTCTATATTTTCCCTCTATCCCATACGATTTTGGGGAACACGTGAAGAATCATATTGGGGGGGGGCACACACAGGCCCCCCACACAACCTTTGATTTGATAACTGTGAAGAAAGTACATTTTTTGTAAAGACAAGCTAAATTTCCCACAAAATTACCCTTTTAAGATTAATTAAAGGTAATTTTAAAAGTAAAAGAAAGTGCAAAGATGAAAAGCCTAATCCAAGAATCGCATTCATGTAATAATGAAAATGCAAAAAAGAAAATTCCGAGCCAAGATTTGGCCTTGGAAGATTTGACACTGCGTTGCGCGAATGAATGAGCAGATGAACCAAGGCCTAAACAAGTAAAGATTGGGGCACTCTAGTATTTTTTTAAATTAATCCATTGTCCTGCACTAATTCTGTAAGTGTTTCCATTTTATCCTCGCATTGTTTTGTGTTATAATTTGTACCCCTGACAAACCATTTCACAGGTTCATTACACTCTGCGGCAGTTTGAATACTGCGCGCAACCACGGTGACATGTCTTCTGACTCAATGGCCAGTGAAGTAATCTCTGTGCCATACACTGACATTACACCAAATTTTGAAGAGCATAAAATGTGAATAGATTAGAGAAATTAGTTAAACTAATTAACAAAATGGTAATTTATATCGTTTGGAGAGTACATATCGAAAATCAACGTGAAATTACATGTAAATGTCGATCAAACGAGAGATATTAGCACACACACAACTTTCTTGAGCATCATCTACTGAGTTACATGGTTTGTTTACATTGACTTAACTGATAAACAAAGAAGGGGACTTAGTCTGTGATCAACAAATTTCGGCACCTTCATTTTAATATTATGATGTAATTATGTCTTTCCGTGCTTTAGATTTGATGTCCCCGATTAGTTGCATGTTGTTCTTCCATTTTAGCAGCATTTCATGTTCATTTACTAAAGTTCTATATTCTCCAGAATAACCTTTTTTTCTTTTCTTTATTATTAATATAGGCAATCAGCAGCAGAAGTTATTTAGGATTGTCATTCCACTTGACCAGTTTGGAAAGAAACAGCTCTCATTGCCATATGTTTTTTTCCTAGCAATCTATTAGTCAGAAACCTTACTCAGCTTTTCTTTCAGTATTGAACATGCTTTTCCTGTAGACTATTGTGTCCATTCAATCAGTTAGTTGTCTTTAC